ATGTTGTTCTTCCTTATTCATCCCTATCACAAGAAAAAAATCAAATATAATTCGATCCATTGTTCTTGTTTGAGTTGTTGTTCGGACTTTAGAACTCCAATTTCGAAGTGTGCTGAAGTTTGTTTGAGGTTGTAGTTGTATGTTGAAGTATCAAGTTCATTGTCTGGGTTATGGGGTCGTAGATTCACAAAATCAATTTTTAGATTTTCAAGCTTTTAAGAACTCTTTCATATAAATTTTATATTTTTGGGGGTTCAACTCAAATTTTCAAATACCAATCTTCAAACTAAGAAATCAATAGCTAAATGTTAATTTCCAGCTTCAATTGCATTATCCAAGCAATTTTCAGTAACATACAATTAAATCTCTTCAAACTTTTGCACTTAAAAAACCCAATAAAAGCTAAAAATTTCTCACCGACAAGGCTTTCAAATGAGTAGCTATTTTTCTAGTTTCAACACAGAAAGAATGACTTCAAGAGTTTTTCAGCATCTTTCAATCTTGGGAATTAAATTTTCTGCCTCAGATTTGATATCAAAACCCAAACAATGAACTCGATCATTCAACACACAACTACTATCTCAAACAAACTTCAGCGCACTTTGAAATTGAAATTTCAAAGTGTTGACAATAACATAAACAAGAACGATGAAAGAACTATTTGTTTAATTTTTTTTTTGAGATAGGTATGAACAAGTAAGAACAACATTATTGAATAACGTTTTAAGGGTATTAGTGGTCCAAAACATAAACGGCAAGGATAGTTTTGATCCCAAAAATAAATAAAGGGTATATATGAGCTATTTCAAATAATTCGAGGATAATTTTGACTTTTTTCCGTATATAAAATAAAAAAGATAAAGAATAACACAATTATTTATGTTTCTTTTAAAAGTCAATTTTTATTAAAAATAAGAAATACACACAACAACATATACTCTAAAATAAGGGAGGAAATTGGAAATAAGAAAAAGAATATGAGTAAAATGAAAGAAGCAAGACAAATAGGAATCGAACACGACGCACCTAATCAGTAAAGAACGTTCGTTGGCAGAGAAGCCAAGAAAAATACTTCCTTTTTCACCCAAAAAAGGCAAAACGAACATCCAAAAACGGCACATAAATAAAGTTTACATTTTTTCAAATTTCATTCATCGCAACTCATAATCTCTCTGTCGACGATCTCTTAATCTGTTCAGCGGTCAGTTCCAAAGATCTCTTCTTCTTTTTTCTGCTTTTTGATGTATAATTTCCAAGCCAATCATTTTTTTTATGGATCTATGAACTGTTTACAGGTGTTGTGTTTTATTTTATCATATTATTGTAATTTTTTGTGTTAATTTTGATGTTGGTTGATTTATTTGTTGTTTTGAGATCAGCTTTACTGGGCTGGTCTTATTTTTTGGGATTTAAATCTTTTAGTTTTATCAAATAGTTGTTCATAATTATATGTGTTTTGTGGTTCTATTAAAGGAGGTTATCATGAAGGGTGTTTGAAAAAATTGGAGTTTTTTTGTGCTAATAATTAGGTATCTTTATGTTTGTTTTAAGTTAAGTGAATTTTTTGTATGTACTCTGGGATGGAAAATTTGCTACTGAAGTTTTATGAGTAATTTCTTGGGTTTAGGTTGCGTTTATGTACTGTGGGGGTGGAAAATTGTTTGATGTTGTGTTTCAGGAAGTTAGAATTAGGCATGTTGACTCTGAAAGGAAAGCCAAGTTGTTTTCTGCTTTCTACTAGTGTTTCTTTTTTTGGGTTCAGATACATATTTTTGTCGAATTGAACATGTGAGATGAGCCTGACTCTTGTAAAAAGATTGCGTTCAAAGACTGTTTGAGTATATGTGTAATAAGGTTGTTCGATTTGCATGAGCATAGTTGTGAATTTGATCCAGTTTCAAGTTTACTAACCAGTGTTTCTTTGGCTTTTTTTACAACTTTGTTGTACTGATCTTGCACTATTGCTGATATTAAAACTTTGGTAGTTTTTTTTTTTTGGTTGATATTTTGCAAGATTCTACTTTTGCTGGCTGCACTATGTTTTATTTATCTTGTGTTCTTATGTGGTGTGACGAAGAGGTTCTTGGTGAGGATTAGTTTGAATTATCTTTTTCAGACATAGTGTAGTTACCAGACTTTGGGAAAATTTATGTTTTTCTTGAAGCTGGCAGAGTTGGAGAATATTTTTTCATGTAATTGTTCTTTTCTCTGGAAAGGAAGGTGCAGGAAGTTTAACTTATTGTTTAAGATTGATGGGTTGGTGGTGCCTAAATGCTGGCAATTCAAATCTTGGTTTAGTCCTCTAGTGATGGATGTAGATGTATCATATAGAATAAAATGAAACGGCAGAAATAAAAGAGTGTTTGAGAGTGTTTTGGATAGCAAGGTGAAGTGAAGAAAGTCCTACAGAACAATTGTGAGATCATTATCTATATGTTTGTAAATGTTTGGTCAACAAAGATGATTAAATTTTTGTAGAGATTATCACGTCAACAGTGTGTGAATATTACGCATAGAGGATAATGTGCCATAAAGTCATCCGATACGGTTTTGCCATGCCGTATGTAGACCTTAATATGCACCACTTAGTGTGATAATGTGATGATTGAAGTTGATAAACAGTGTTGAGGTAAACTTAGAATCACTTGGGAGAAGTTGCCTAAAAGGATGTACATATTTCGCAATCAATACAAGTTACCTAAGAAGAGTGTTCAATGGAAGCAAAGGATCTCTAAGACCAATACAAACCAGTTGGTTTAAATGACTTAAGGCTGTAGTTTTGCTTAAGTTGGACCTGATGTTTATTAGGAGTTTTTTTAGTTAGAAATTCATACATGTTGGTGTGTATGTGCAAGATAAAGAACCTTTAGTTTTATAAAACCTTAAATTTGGCAATTCAAATTATTTAGTGTTGGAATGAATGGATGAGCAAATAGACAGACACGAAGGATCTTTTTTTTTTTGGATCAAGTAAACGTATTTCATATCATAAGCAAGGCCCTAAAACGACTGTATGCAATTGGTATACCAAAAGGCAAAAGCTAAAGAATCCACACAATCAGCTGATTCTCTACAAACGCCACCCAATCGTCTTATATAATATGGGACTTTCTATGTGCACCTACATAAAATAAGGGAACAAAGGCTACTCCTTCACTACTAAAAACTCAACTCTACATCTTCAAAAGCTCTTCTTTTCCTCTCATTCCAGACAACCCACATTAATGCAAAGGATCATATATCCAACTTCAACTAATCGAGATTAAGGTGTAGTTGGTTGTTAATGTTTTCCTCTAAATCAATTTTTTGCAGAAAAGTAACAATATGGAGCATGATGAGACAGGATGTCAACCCCATCCAGAAGGCCCTATTTTGTGCATTAACAATTGTGGTTTCTTTGGAAGTGCTGCGAACATGAATATGTGCTCCAAGTGTTACAAGGACGTGATTCTGAAACAAGAACAAGCAAAGCTTGCAGCGTCGTCAATTGAAAACTTTGTAAATGGGTCCACAAGTCAGAAGGGGCCTGTCATTGTTGGCTCTGTGGATGTCCAACCTGCCCTGCTAGAATCAAAATCTGTGATTTTTTCATCACCTCCATCTTCAAGTTCTGGTGAGGCTGCTGAATTGATGGCCAAGGAGGGTCCTAGCCGATGCAGCACTTGCAAGAAAAAGGTTGGTTTGACTGGATTCAAATGCCGCTGTGGTAACTTTTATTGTGGATCACACCGCTACTCAGATAAACATGACTGTCAATTTGACTACCGCTCTGCTGCACGCAATGCTATAGCAAAGGCCAATCCTGTTGTGAAGGCAGAAAAACTTGACAAGATCTAAAAGGAGTTATTGTTGTCAAAGTTGATGTGTCCTTTTAATCGAAGGAGGGCTTCCTCTGATTGGCTACCTTTCACATGATATCTCGTTAAAGCTGGGAGTCAAGGCTATTTAAGAATCATCTACAGGCTGAAGAACTCATGTTCATTGTCATAGGTAGAATTTGATTGTTGACTCCAGTTTCAAGTCTTTGTATGTGCTGGTTTGGTTAATATTAATTAGGTTTGTTATGTGTCATTCTGTGGTTCACGTCCATGCAATTGTAATCTGGCATTGTAAATTATTCTGCATGGATCTCTCTTATGGCTTCACTTTGCTCCAATGTAGTTTATTATCCTTACATCGCCTTGCTTTGTAGGTGTTTTGCATTTGTTCTTGTAGGTAAGCTGTTTACTTTTTGAAAACACCTGTTTCTGCAACTGGATTTACCGTATGATGGTGTTGAGGTATTCTACTGTTTATGTGGCGGCTTTGGATTAATCATGTTTTGATAGTTCACACGAGTTTGACTAGGGTTGCTTTTCGGTTGGCACTTTACTAGAGAAATATGAATAGTGTAGCTTGCAATTGTTGCCGTGTGTTGTTGTTTCTTTCTTGGATTTTGGTGAATTATAGTTCAGTAGACTGACAATTGTACAGAAAGATGAAAAACATTGGAGGCCATGAGCTCTTTTCATTGTACTTCACTCCATGGCTCTGGCTTTTATCTTTGAAAATTAAGGTTGTCGGGGCAAGTAATCATCAGTGCCCTTGTCCATTTTCTTGAAATGTTGTTTATGGATCAAATGTAAGTGGTGAGACTCCGATGCCTAAGGCCAACTGTCTCGTTACTATTTTTCTGAGTAAGGTTGATGTTTTTGTGCAATTGATCTGCCCTGAGCAGCAATACAGTTTCGATTATGAATCTATTGAACTTCCTTTTGTTATCATTAGGTCTCATAGATCTTTTTGGTCATTTCCCCAGATCGTATAGTTGATTGAACAAGCACTCATGCATCGAATCCCATCAGAACTTTGAAGTTATATTGATCGGAGATGAACCTGTATGGATTGAGATTGCTTGGGGATTGAGGTTAGTTGTGGAGGCAAGTGTGTAGATACTTACTTGACCGATTTTAGACAAGAGAATAAAGTTACAGAATATTTCAGGTTTAGCTGCTCCGGAATCAATTTCAAATCTACAAAACTGAAATTGAAAATTCAGGTCTTATATTACAAACTCAGACATATTGAGTCTGAGGATTTAACATCTAATGCTGTTTACAGAAAGGTGTAAGAGGATTTATCCTCAACATCCTGTGTTTCCCACAAGAACTTGGTCACTAATTGGCTAACAAATGTTACACAAAAACTTGCCTCTCATTTTAAATGGAGGTCGAAACTTGAAATGCTATAAAGGAGCCGTAAAGCTAGTCAGAACTTGGTCGTCACGCTGAAATGCCACTGGCTTCAGCTTCAAGGTACTTGCACATCCGCTCCATAACCTCTCTACCCTTTGCGCTGTTCGATTGGAACTTCTCTACACATCTCTGCTCTATTTTCTCTGCCATAGAAGCCAGTGCTGATAAAGGCTTAATCTTAATACTAGTTTCCTGCTTGCAGACTGTCCATGAATTTGGATTATCAGGATGAGGATCATATCTAATTTTCTCCTCTACCTCAATAAAATTTTGGAGACTGATGTTACGAGTAGAAAGTTGCATTGACCGACTTTGTGCATCAACAACCGTTGATTCAATACAGTGACATATATCTTGACCAATGATTTTGCGAACAAACCAAGGCCCAGGTGCATGTATAGTGATGGCACGAGTTGTGTAAAGCTTCCCTAAGTTGGCGTCAAGCTTGTGATCTAATGTATCAACCTCAAGGATGTGAGATAGGGCACGTTTGTTCATAGGATCAGCAAACTTGCGCCAGGATGCAGAAGTAACTCGTTCCCATGGGTGCCTATAAATATGCTCTTGTGAATATGCTCTGACCATCTTGTATCTCTTGGTCTTTGAAACCTGAACAAGCGAGCGGTCAGAAGTCAAGTAATTTCAAAATCTTGTTGTGGAATGGAGTTGGCTGCAAACTAATCAATATACTTTGCTTTAAAAGAAATTTTCACTCTAAAGCACATGTCTATATACAGAAATATGGATGACCAGAAAATATCATAATCAAGTACTGTAACGGTATAGGTAGATCTGATTGTGAAAGACCTATTACGGGATAATTCATAGGTTTTGTGCCAGCTCATGATCTAAAACGAGTCGTACATACACCCTAGCATATGTTCCTCGATGCTGAGGGCACACCTGAAGAGTGGGGGATTTAGTAACCTTTGTGCAAGGCAATCGGCCATGAGAGTAAGTTCTCTAAATGACCAGATCATCCATTATCATTCGCACGACATAGAAGATAAATCTATCTCTCTTGTTAGAGTATTAGAGAAGTACTCAGAGAGACAAAACTTGCCCTCTCACTTGGCTGACATAGGAGATCATCTTATTCTTTGAGTTGACACCAATAACAGAGAATCTAGAAATGCTCAAATGGTTCCAAAATCCCTAAAGGGTCTTCTTCTAAAAGCTTCATCACATTCATCATTAACACAAAAAACCAAAATCAGGATCCATGCGGGTGATAAGAAGGTAAACGGTATCCTCCAAGTCATAAAAAGATCACATCATCAGAAGGTACCCTATTGACTGATCTAATTGCAAAATTACACATCGAAACATACAACCGAATCCAGAAAGAAGTTTCAGAAAATTTGTAACAGCAGCTGAATAATAGAACACACACATAGAAACACAAGATTCAATTTTTGCAAGAATCATCCACATATTTTTTTTAAAAACAAATAATACTTTTAGGTAACAATCAACCCATACATGAAATTCAAACAGAGAAGCTCTTCAAAATTCTTAAGCAAAACACCAATTCAAGTCAAAATTTTCACCAATTTCATCTTCACACCTCAAATATAGATTAACCACAAATTCATACAAAAAAAAACAAGAAATCAAACATTAACCTCAAAAGGGTCTCTCATGAATTTGCAGATCCAGTACTAAATCAACTTACGAAAAAGACAACTTGGGACCAAATTATTTCAAGTCGAAACAGAGAATTGATACAAACAAAAAAAAATTGACAATTTAAATCAAGAAAAGGGCTTACAGATTATCTATATGTATGAATATGAGAGATGAACAGATCAATTTTCTTGAAGAACAAGTTTGAAAGCCGCCTTCAATTCTCTCTCTATGGAAAACAAAAGAAAGCAATGCCAAAAGTTATAACGATATATCTGTTATGCTTTCCACGACGAATGGCGGTGTGTTTGCTGAAAATCCAAATTGAAAATCGAATCAAATCAATTATTTTTAAAAAAAATATTTAAGTTGATTCAATTAAATAAAATATTGAACCAAATTGATAAGTTATTCCTTTTTATAATTATAGTGGTCATAGTGTTATGCTTTTAGTTTCTTGTTGTTTTTTGTTTTTTTTAATTGATATATATATATATATATATATCATTTTGTGTAGTTGATTTTATTGATATACTTGATTGCAGTATTATTCTAATATTATTTGTTGTTTTGTTTCATTATATTTTTTTGTAGTGTGTTTTGTCTTGAGTCGATGATCTATCAGAAAATAGTTTTTCTACCTCACTTGTATGATACAGATAAGGTCAACATACATTCTATCCTCCCCAAACTTAACCTTTTTTAAATGATTTTTTTTTTCAATACAATTCTTCTAAACGATTCAATATGTATACTTGACCCAACTAATCCGATAAATTTATGGGCAAATCACATAAATCCACTAGTTTAGGTCTTAATTATTAAGATTCTCAATAGTTTCAAATATTACTTCCTGTACCATATTTTATGCTTAGGATACATGAGTCTAAATCCATGAGATACATGCAGTATCTGCCGAATTTTAAAATTGAGATACAAAATTTATTTATTTAAATTAATTGGTTGGAACTTATTTCCTTAATTAGAGGAGTAATTGAGGATTTTCAAAATACATAGATAATTAATTTCATTTTATTATTCTTTGAAATAGTAAATTCATTAATATTATTAATATAAGATAAAAACATGTATATCTTGGTAATGCAATTTGATTAATTTCAAATTATTACTCTTAAAATAATAAATTCATTAATTTGATGTATCTATATCAATATATGATGTATCCAACAAACTAAACACTTAGATACATGAGTGCTATGCAAGTACATTCATATGTATACATCTAACTATGTGTATTTAAATTTCATATGTTATATCCAAAAACATGTATCTTGAATACATAGTAAGCATATACATCAAATTATGTGTATCTAAATATGGAATATACAAAAAGAAGAAGCATATACATCTAACTATGTGTATTTAAATTTCATATGTTATATCCAAAAACATGTATCTCGAATACATAATAAGCATATACATTTAATTATGTGTATCTAAATATGAAATGTAGTTGAAACACATTAATTTAGGAACAAATTACGATTGTAGAGTATCTGTCGTATCATTAATATCATCGTGTTGTTAAAAATCATGTATCCAAAATTTAATGGTGGATACATATACATGGTCAGACACCCCATTACTAAAAATACAACTCAGATCTTAATTAAGATTACTACTTATTGGATACACATGTTTCAAGGGCTATATCAAAGTAATATTGGTACTGCCAAATCCATGTCACGGTAACCAAAGAAAGCCTTAGAAGAACACCAACAAACAAAAGCTCTCTACAATACTCCCTTTGATCCTTTTGCGTTGTGGTATAACATAATCAAAACTAAGATCCATTTCTTTCGGAGACAAACAATCAAGACCCACTCTGAATTAAAGTTTTCTCTGTAGTAGTTACTTTGATTTGATCTAGTTATAAATGAACAATACATAATAATATTTGGGTTCTGGAGAATTTGTCGGACATGGTGATGATATCTTGAGAAGAAGAGAGTAGATTAGCTATTGTTGGAATGAAATTGTACGATGAAATTCCTGAATCATAAAGGAGGAGATATAATTGAGTGATAAATATGGGAGTGGAGAATTAAGAGATAGTGGTTGATTTGGAGTGAAAGAGTTAATTAAGCAGATAATTAATCAATCCTAGTTTTAAGGTATGTGGGTATCTAATAATCTAATTGTATCTTCAAATAATATATTAATATATGGTATAAATTATTAAAAGTGGTAATATATGTAATTGTTTGAAAGTAAAGATAATATTAGTATATATAGTAGTGATGTATGTCTAATAAGGTAGTTTATCCTAAATTTATTCCTAGTGCCCTTTTAAGGGATTCAAATATGTTAAATAATTAATCGATGCAATCAACGGTTTAGTTTAAAGAGTGGTGGCTATCTTGATGGGACTTATAATAAGGTAGTCTCATTTGTGTTTTTTTTCGTTTTCCTTCTTTTCATAATATAAAAGACGATGACCACCTAAAGTTGACAACAATTTTCACTTAAACACCTCTACTAGGATTTGCTCATTTTAGACAGCCATAGTAAGGTTTTATTCTGTCATTTTGACACTTTTTAAACAGTCAACAAAACTTTTGAGAGTGTAACATACTCGTTGATAATGTGTTAAAATAACGAATTAAATAAAGACACATGACATATATACCAAAATAAGTACTAAAAAAATATTGTGAGTAAAAAAATATTTTTAAAACTATTAAGTTAATTACCAAAAAAAAGTATATTTCAATAATGGCGAAATGGTCTAATGGACCCCTATACTTGTCCGAGTTTGCATTATGGACCCTTCTACTTAATCATTTACCAATTGAGCCCTTAAATTCAATAAAACACAATATATCAAATCCCTCTGTCCATTGACCAAGCTTATTTAAGATGGTTGAGTTGGCGAGAGAGTGTGACTACACACATCTGAAGGCAAGTGAACATCATATTTAAACTTAAAATATTAAAATAATAATAATAAAAAAAAAAAAATTAAAAAGATCCCTCTTCTTCCCTCAACTCCACCCACTTTTTCGCTGCCATCCCCATCCCTGCCCTCAACTACTTTTTCTTTCTTCTCCACACCTATGGTCATCTTGATCTTTAACGGATATTTGGCATTGGGACCTCCTTGACGTCAAGTTTCAAGCTGTTATCAGTGGAGGGAGAGAGGGCATTGGTTGATTTTATGGCAATGCTCGCTAGAGTCCATTGATTTTGCAGTGGAGTGAGAAAAAGAAAGGCAACACTGATACCTTTTCGCTAGAACAGGAGGCAACGAGGGTGTTTGTTGAAAGACGGAGAGCACGGAGAGGAGAGGTTGTCGTTGATGATTCGCAGGGGGGTCACCGGTGGTGTGGCGGCTTAAGGTTGCTGATTTTGTGATGGTTGGAGAAGGAGGAAAGAAAATAGTGAGGGTTTGCGATGGAGATGGAGATGATGAAGGAGAAAGTACAGGTCTCACCGGCGAGAGGAGTGGTGGTGCAGCGACATTCGCCGGTGGATTTTAGATGTTACACGGTTGCAACCGGAGTGGAGGCGTGGAGTCCCAATTTTTTCTTAAAAAATCAATTTAAAATTTATTAATTTACCTTTTATTTAATAATTGTCCAAAAAAAAATAATTATAAAAAATAAAAAATGATGTGGCAAAATTTATCTTACATGGGATGTGACATCAGCGCGATTGAGAGTCGGGATGAGTTGAAAGGGTTCAACATGTTGAGTTTAAATGAATTCGGAGGTTCAGATGACAAAGGGATAAGTAGAAGGGTTCACAATACAAACGAATACAAGAACAAGGGTCCACCAGACCATTTAGCCTTTCAATAATTTAAAAAAAAATATAAAACTTGCAGCAACCTCTTTCTCTTTGTTCTCACCATTTTCATATTTCCTCCTTTAACCACCATGACCCTTATTTGTTTCTACCATTAATGGCAGTCCTGTCATTCCAATGCAACAATCCATCTCCCAGTCTTCCTCTATATAGAACAACTTTCACCTTCCTCCTTCCCACTTTTTTTCTTCTCTACACACACTACTCCTCCCCCTCTGTTTTCCAGATTGATGTCGGCATATATATGAAGAGGTTATTGAAGATGGTTGAACATAGTTTGAAATTGCGAAGAAAAGAGCTAAAAAATAGAAGACAGATCTAAAATGATTATTTAAACAAAAAACACAAATTTAAAGTGAGAATGAGGAGAAAGATGTAAATGTTGGACAAAATGATAATCACACCTAGGATAATGTTCAAACTAAATATCAAAGGAAAGAGAATAACAACGACACCAAATATTAAAATGGGATAAATATGATACCCGAATAAGTAATACAATAATATTGATGAAAAACTTGATAGTATCAAAAGATAACTATTCAACACTCTTTTATTTCTTATAACTCGCAATAATATTACTTTCACAATGTTTTCTCACAAACTAAGAAATAGCTTGTGGACTACTCTCTATTGCTTCTCTATTTTGGTGTATCTTCAAGTGTTCAATTACTACTCTATTTATAGAGTTTTGAACCTCTTGATTACATCAGTAGTGACATAAATGTGGCAGGCAATTTTCACAAAGTTTGGCTGCCAAACTCTACCAAACTTTGACTACCAACTTCTACAAATGTGGCTGTCAACTTTCACATTTGTGGCTAGTAATTTCAACAAGTGTGGTTGTCAAGTTTCATATTTGTGGCTAGTAATTTCAACAAGTGTGGCTACCAACTTTCATATTTGTGGTTAGTAATTTCAACAAGTGTGGCTGCCAAATTAGTTGTTGCCAAACTTTTGTTCCCACAAATCTATCCCTTAATTTTGGTTTTTTCTTCTTACTCCAAGGCTTGATCTCAATCTCTGAAAATCTTCAAACTTGAGAGGCTTTGTAAAGATATCCGCAACTTGATCATGAGATTTCACATACTTGAGTTCTACCTCTTTCTTGGCAATGCATTCTCGGATAAAGTGATACACTTTGTGTCTATGTGCTTGCTCCAAACATGATACACTGATTCTTTGCAAGTGCTTGCGCAGATTGGTTATCAACAAAAATCATTGTAGCTTCAATTTGTGGTAAATTGAGTTCCTTCAACAATGTCCTCAACCAAATAGTATGACACGTACATGATGTCGCTACCACATATTCAGCTTCACAAGCAGAGAGAGTAACAATTGGTTGTTTCTTTGAGCTCCAAGAAATAACACAATCATCCAAGAAAAATGCAAAATCATATGTGCTTTTTCTATCATCAACATATATCGCATAATCACTATCACAATATCCCACAAGACTAAAATCATTAGAAGAAGAATAAAATAGTCCAAGATCGATTGTACCTTT